TAATTTCTTTATTTTTAAAATGTGTATAAGTAGTATTTATAAAGTTTTAGCTTTTAGTTTTGGATGTGTTTTTAGTTGTTTTAATACTACAATTGATTGCTTCTGTTGCCCTCATTTGTAAGTCGCTTTGGATAAAAGCGTCTGCTAAATGACTAAATAAATAAATAAAAAATGCTATCTAAATGAATTCTAATTTTAAAATTTTAATTTTAGATACACTTTCTAATTTGAATAAACTTTATATACAACAAAATAAACTTAGCATGAAATAAACATGCCTTTAGTTTAGTAACATGGTAGTTTTGTATTTCCTACAGGTTTCTAAGCAGTAGTATACATCGAAATATGTTTGGTTTTTTTTCTTTCTCCAGAATAGGTGCAGATACATTTTAGCCTATAGGGATACCTGCACTGGATGGCCAAATTCACATGTATTTTGTGTATTTTCAAAATACAAAATACTGTATTTTTATTTAAATACACTTTTCCACACAGTATTTTGTATTTTTATTTAAATACACTTTTCCACACAGTATTTTGTTTTTATTTTAAATACATTTTCATGTATTTATGCCCATCTGAGAGTATCAGAAGTAAAAAAAAAAAAAAAAAGTCCACCCTGAAATCCTGAAATCTTCTGAATCTGATAGTAGCTTATATTTATGTACCATATTGAACTACAAAGAAAGAGAGAAGTTCATTACATTACTACATTACATCTGAAACAACCATCGAGCAACTCATAGGTGGAGGACATCCAACTTGTGTACAGTCATGGCCAACAGTTTTGGCAGTGACAAATTTTGTTTTGCAAAGTTTGCTGCTTCAGTATTTGTAGATTATTTTTCCACGTTTCTATGGTATACTGAAAAACAATAATAATAATATCATACGTTTTAAAGGCTTTTATTGGCAAAAAAATATGATGATATAATAATCAGTCAATATTTACAGTGTTAGCCCTTGTTCTTCATAACCTCTGCAATTCGCTCTGGCATGCTGGATTAGCTTCTGGGCCAAATCCTGACTGATGGCGATCCATTCTTGCCTTATTAGTTCTCGGAGTTGATCACAATTTGTGGGCTTCTGCTTGTCTACTCACCTTTTGAGGACTGACCACAGGTTCTCTATGGAATTGAGATCCGGGGAGTTGCCTGGCCACGGATCCAAAATTTCAATGTAATGATCTTCGAGCCA